CTTCAGATCTAGGGGCCAGATGCAATCCTCCAGACATCTCTATCTGGCCTTTGAGACTACCCCCCAGGCCAAGCCCCGCTCCCCAGTCCACACCCCTCATTGGCATTGCTTCACACCCTCCTTGAGGGTTTTTGCCTGATAGGTCTCCTTGAAATCTGATAATGCGTCTTGCTTGCTTGGGTGGCAGATAGGGAAAAAGGAATGAGTGTATGTAGAAACTAGCCTGCTGTAAAAAAAAGGTAACATTTATATTACTTGCTCTATAATTTTGCCACTTACGGAAAAGTAGGATTAAAATTTGTGGAAGGAAGGAAGAGTAAGAATATCTATTATTCCATTGGATTTCCTTCCCCAGGGTAAAATCATCATCAACATCTACTGCTCTTGACCAGGATTAAAATAATGTGACGTTTCCTTCTTGCATTCCCTGCACTGCTCATGGTTCTGGTGCCAAATTCAGCCAACAGGAAAGATTTAATCCATGAAAATTCATTAGACACAGTGCAGGCAAATGATCAGAGAGCAACAAATGAAACACACAACCAAGTCCAGCAAACAAAAACATGGGAGAAATCTCTGAAACAATTGTCTGCTCAATGCTCTTCTCCCTTCTTTTAACTAAAATATATTAGGTCATCCATTGCTTACTTCTTAAAAAATCCCCCGACCCAGTCATACTGAGGAGGAGACACCAAGACAATCTACGCCAGCAGCACATAGTACCCATATCCCATCTCCATCTATCTGCTAAATGCTATTACTGTATCTGATGCTATATTCTTTCAGTCCTTCTTCATTCACACTGCAGGCTGTCCCACTCGTCTTGGTGGGCGGTGTTACATAACAATTTTGCTTCCTCAACTTCCAAAATGAAAATTATTTTTTAAATAAAACTATAGCTACAAAAAATTAATGTAAACATATCTGCTTCAATTCTACCCTCCCCACCAATGGATAGAGTGTTGGGTGTTGGGTTTTGGAGACCTGAGTTCAGCTCCTGTCCCTGCCATAGGCTTGGGAACAATAGCGATCTACCTCACAGGATTGTTTTGAATGAGGAATAATAAATAAAAAAGGCTTGTAAAGCACTGTCATGCTGTAAGAGCAAAAGAAGTGATAATATTAATAAAGCCTGTGGTTTATAATGTCCCAGTGTCAAGCTTAAATCCCACCTTCTTCCCACCCCGCCACCCCTCTCGAAACAGTGAAGAGGAGCACAAAGAATCAAATTGTAGATTATCTTCAGGTTATTACTGGGCTGTGAGCTTTCTTGTCAGACTACCAGCAGAGGCAAAAGCTTTCTGAATCAGGCCCTTATCATTTAAACCATATTACAATTCAACATGAAAAATGACTCGCTCCAGATTGCATAGAATAAAGCATCTTGAGATGCAATAGAAGCACCCAATTTTCAATAAAGATATTAAACCTAAGCCTCAGAAAAAAGGAGGGGGGAATAATTACATCATTTTTTGCTTTGAGTTTTAATGTTAAATGTGTCAATTTATAAAGCTAGGTGAACATCCACAATTCATAAGCAGACTGCAGCTAATTAGATCCCCTTTGATCCTTTATTTTTGCCCGGGAGCTTATTTAACAACTTTTCACAAAACCCAAGGTTTTGATGCACCCACAAATGGCCTGGTAGAGAGCTCAGCAGGGAGTGATTCCCCCCCCACACACACACACACACTCCTGCAGCTCTCCTGAAGTAGGTGCCCATCTTTTCTGAAAGCACATGGTACTATTAATGATGAGGATGCTTCCTAGATGTGAAACATTCCTATTTAAGATATTTGGATGGAAGGCTGTATAGAATTGCAAAACATTCTAATTATTTGTGATAGGAATAATATTTGTCTCCTCCCTATGAATGAAACCCTTTAGAAGAGAACCTCTTCTCTTTTTTAAAAAAAAAGGTGGGGGGAGGTAGCAAAAGAAGTGATAACTGATTCTGGGCCAGTTCACACAACCTATATTTAAGGTTTCAGACATGGGCTGCATAGGCAAGTTGCCTTTTACCAGGTAAGACTATTTGCTGATCCAGGCAGATAGGGAACCTATTTCAGCCTGAGGCTTAGAACTTGCCCAGCCTTCCAGGGGCCTCGTTCTAAAGCTGGGTGAGGCAATGTGGGCAGGCAAAAATACCCCCCTTTCCCCTCCAAAAATGAAAGAGTGTGTGTGTGTGTGTGTGTGTGTGTGTGTGTTTATGCCCATTGCCACACACACAAGTTAAGTTATTATTTGTGGAAATTATGAGGTTCAACTTACATGCCTGGAGCATACACAAATCTTCACGATGTTCTGATGAAGGTGAAAGCTAGTAAAAATCACCTGAGCAAAATGTTGGGCAGTAAATTGGGAGAAAGCCCACCAATGGGGAGAGAGCCTGGAGCAGCACAAGGCAGGTCACCAAAATAGGAAAACTTCAGAGATGGGCACTTAGCCCAGAGAGGAGAAGAGGTGTAAACTGTATTTACTCTTGGGTATTGCGAGAAACCTCAGTTAAGTTGCCAAGGAGTGGGCGGGGGTGAGCGCTCGGTTGCTTGCCAAGGGAAGCTGTCAAATGAATATAAATAAGTACACTTAATCGAGGCTTCATCTAGCCAACAGCCGGAAGTGTAAAATGGGCGGGGGGGCAACTTTTGGGTTACCTATAACAGTTCATTAAAGCCAGGGAGTGGGCGGGGGGGGACTGTGGTGTTTTAGCAAGGGTCTCTCCAGACTGCCTGATTTCCTCATTGAACTTGACGGGCCTTACTTCTATTCTGAGCGGACGTGTTATGGGTTTGTGGCTTGCCAAGGGGGTTATCTATCATGGAGAAATGCTACCGCTTGAGCAAAGGCCTTTAACAGCCTGTTTTAGGCACAGGTCAAAGAGACACACTGCTGAGGCTACTGACGTTTGCTAGATTGCTAAGTGCTCCCTGCTGCTCTGATTGTAGCTTATGGTACTTATGTAGCCTCCCACGTCCGCCACTGTTGTTTTTTCAACGATGGTAGGAGGAAACCTTGGCAAACAACAGCAAGGTTAAAGCTTAGCTCGACAGCAGTGTCCCATCATCTTGTGCAATTCTTCCTTTCTTTCTTTTTTGGTCTCCTTTGATGTTTTCAATTAAGTTATTGGTTGCGGGCAGCCCCTTTTAGCTCTGGAGGCTGCAGAGCATGTGTCCTCATAGCAAAGAATGTAGGCAGAGGAAAGTGAGCTGGAGCTGCCGGTAGCAATGCCACTTTGAAAGACTCAGAGGCCCGGTCAGAAGTGGAGCCGATGCTGAGGAACCTGGGATGTGGGATGAGAGCTCCCCTCAGCACCTCATTGCTCACAGCCTACTGAGAGTTACTCCTCACTGGTGTGTCCAGCTGCAACGTCATAGGAGGGAATGTGGATGGGAGGAAACTGTAGAGGCGAGGGAGACAGCGAATGCATTGCGCCCCAGAAGTAAATCCCACTGAATTCAATCAGACCTACTTCCTAGTAAGCATGCTCAGGATTGCAGCAGTGGTAAACGGGGCAATGGCAGGTGGGCCCTTAATGAAATTGCTAAGCCTCACACTATGGATCTCCCCCTCTATTTAAGCTAACAGTATGGAGAAAGTGGATAGGGAGAAGAAGGTTTTCTCTGTCTCACATAATACTAGAACTTGAGGACATCCAATGGAGGTCAACCTTGGAAGATCCAGAAAGCACTTGTTCACCCAACACATAGTTAAACTATAGGATTCAGGATGGAGTGATGGCCACCAACTTGGATGGGTTTAAATGAAGAGGATTAGACAAATTCACAGAGGATGGAGCTACCAAGGGTTACTAGCTATAATAGCCAGAGGCATAACTAGGCTCTCTTGCACCCTTGGAAGAAGTATTGGCACCCTCATCTCTTGCACCCTTGGCAAGGAGCTGCATCGCCCTTTCCCCATCCCTTGCACCCTTGGAAAGGAGATGTTGGCCACCCAGAGCAGCCGAGGAGCAGCCCGGGGAGTGTGTGGCTGAGTGGGTGGGTGGGCTCCTAGTCACTCTGAGCCAGAGTGGAGAAATGCAGTTTTTGTGGCCTCCTGGGCTTGTACCCTTGGCAGGAGCTAGCCTGGCCAACCCCCAGGTACGCCCTTCATAACAGCTATGTTCTACCTCTACTGCTGAAGGCAGTGTGCCTCTGAACACTGGTTGCTGGGGAGCATCTGTAAAATGGGGTGAGTGCTGTTCAGGTTCTGCTTGGGGGCTTCCCATGGGCATCTAGTTGGTCATGGTGAGAACAGGATCCAGCATGACTCTGCTTATATTCTTATGGGTGGCAAAAAAAGGTAATGGTGGTGGGTACTCTTTGCCTGTAATTCAAGCAGCCAAAGGCAGGGGTCTTGGTGTACTATATACATAAGCTTGTCGTAAAACAACCCTGTAAGGTAAGCCAACTGCAGATGAGGATGAGATGCTAAGGCCACCTAGTGAGAGCAGAGCAGAGGCACAATTCAAACCAGGTGGCTTCTTACTTAATACATTGTTAAGAGGTCCCTTAGCCATTACTCTACACCCATTTGCTAAGATAATGACTATGTTTCCGAGACATAATAAAATTCTTATTCTTATTCTACACAACTCTTAGAAGCTATCTGAAGGCAGCCCTGTTTTTAATGTTTGACGTTTTACTAAGTTTTGATATGTGTTGTAAGCTGCCCAGAGTGGCTGGGGAAACTCAGCCAGATGGGTGGGGTATTATTATTATTATTATTATTATTATTATTATTATTATTACAACACAATTCTTAAATTATAAGTAGAGATCTAAGCCTTTCATTATCCTGTTCCTATAGATTTTTACACATCTCTAGAACACATCTCTAGAACACATCGTGTTCTAGCACGAAGAACTCTGAAAACTGAACACCTTACTCAAAGTTCTAATCCGCAGCATCTTTCATTTTTGAAATTATGATTTGTCAGTCCCAGTTCCATATCTAAATTGCACCAGTTTCTGTGAAACATTTGTCCCAATGGCCTTCCTTACCTTTGCTCAGATGGTCTCCTGGCCAGTTATTTTTTCTTGTTTAATAATCTTCTTCCTCCTCTCCTCCTCAACGTTAAACCATTCCTCACTGGAACTGAAGGGGGGAGAAATGAGTAAGAAAAAAAAAAAGGAAAGGCATTAGGAGGAGGTTCTAAGAGATTTTTTTCCTCTTTTATCCAGTGCTTTAGATCACAATATTAATTATTTAGAAGAAACCACTTGTCCTTTGCCTGATAACAAATGTAATGTATTAACAAAATCAATACTGTGTATCAGTGGTGTACTGCTTTGTATTTTACAGTATCACTCTGCTACCCTTGGGGCAGCAGGATACAAGTGATATTAACCCTGCATCCTTGTGATTATATGGATTCTCCTTCCAGACACTGCTGAAAAAATCACAAAGCAATTTGTGACAGAAGTAAAAGGCTTAGTAACATTCCCAACATTTTCCTCCATAGTGAAGTATCCATGAAGAACACAGAGGATTTAAAACCATGAAGATTTTGCATTGAAATGTAGCCAAATGTCCCAGCCACAAAATCTTGCTTTTACCGCAGCACTTGGAAGAAACTTAAGTCACTTTTGCCTGGTATAGAGTAACTTTATTATTATTTTATTTAAAAGCTTTGTGACAAACAGTTCTCTAAAGTACCAATTTTTACATATAACAAAACCAAAACTAGGCTTGTAAAAACCACCTGCATATTACAAAACAAAAAAAATTCCTTCCAGTAGCACCTTAAAGACCAACTAAGTTAGTTCTTGGTATGAGCTTTCGTGTGCATGCACACTTCTTCAGATACACTGAATACACTGCATATTACAGTGAGCAACAAGAGTTAGGCAGTGATGGTGGTACATTTTTCCAGTCATCCAAGTGGGTCTCTCCATAGCCTGCTATGTGTCTGTGGGAGATGCAGCTATGCTCTCCTGACTGGGTGCATATTATAAAACTATGCCATGGACCACATTTCTCCTCTGGTCACTTTCAGCTGATAAGTCATTTTTTCAGCCAAAGCAAATGGCCAGACCTGTTCATACCAGGAACCTCACCGTTGCAAGTCTTGTAAGGTAAAGGTAAAGGTACCCCTGCCCGTACGGGCCAGTCTTGACAGACTCTAGGGTTGTGCGCCCATCTCACTTAGGAGGCCGGGGGCCAGCGCTGTCCGGAGACACTTCCGGGTCACGTGGCCAGCGTGACAAAGCTGCATCTGGCAAGCCAGCGCAGCACACGGAAACGCCGTTTACCTTCCCACCAGTAAGCGGTCCCTATTTATCTACTTGCACCCGGGGGTGCTTTCGAACTGCTAGGTTGGCAGGCGCTGGGACCGAGCAACGGGAGCGCACCCCGCCGCGGGGATTCAAACCGCCAACCTTTCGATTGGCAAGCCCTAGGCGCTGAGGCTTTTACCCACAGCGCCACCCGCATCAGCAGGAAAAGCACATCCTCATCTGGACTTTTAATAATACTGTAAAGGTAAAACTACAGCTGCCTGACTTGCTATATCTCCCACTCCAGATGTTTTGCACCATAAGACACGGCCACAACGTTTGAAAGAGCATCCTCCCACACTAAACACTAAACTCCAACTCTGAGGTTTTGTGTTTTTCAAATGATCTTCCAGCATCTGTAACTCTGGCCAAATAAAGGCAACACTGCCTTGGAAATTGTGGGGAGAGAAGTATGGAAGAAAGGGGATATATAAATTTTATAAACAAAGCAACAGCATAATAGAAAGCACCAGCTGCATGTTCTACGTGACATCCTGTTTCCGGTTAAAATTTTATCTGCACCCATTTCTGATGTGAGGAAGTCAGTCCCTATTGAAACCGTTGCAGGGTTGATTAATTGTGGTTTCACGTAGCACACCCAGCGAGTGGCCAGTGTTAAAGGCAGAGGAGCTTATAGGCCGATGCATATTTATATTTATTACATTGTGGGACCAGGCATGCTTCTACACAATAGACATAGCACTCGGCACTCTTTGTCCATTGCATCCCGTCTTCAAATCTTGCACGGTGTCAGGAGCTTTACTCTTCATGCTGGCATAGCCTCCCATTGCATTCTAGCATTTCCTGCAGTTGGGAACATGGACTGTTGTTTCTTGTGACGAGGGAGCACCAAAGATGCAGGGAATTTATTAAAAAAATGACACCCCACAAGAGAATGTCCTACCATCCCTCCAGAGCAGATCTGGAGGCAGGACATGCTTGGGGGAGAGGGGGCAGTTCTGCTGCGCTCACAGAAGTTGTTCTGTGAATGCAGTGATACAACCCTTAGGTCAGACTGCCCTTCAAATCGAGGATGTCTTCAAACAGGGCACTGTCCTCTGTAAAGCGGAACACATGGCCACCTTATTGCTTGCCTCTATCTCTGAGTTCAATCCACATTAGCTCCCTGCAGGAGAGGGTGCAACTTATGGACAGGCTTCACTCATTTAACAACTTGTTTGCTTAGAGAGGGTGAACAGGCAGGCAGCAACAGGAAAGAGCAAAGTGGAGGAAGAGGAGTAGAGGGAACCAGGGGCTCCAAATATTGGCAGTGGGTCCCCGACTGTGGCCTGGGACTCAAACAGCAGGTGCACCACAATGCTGATGCCTGGTGCTGACTCTGGCAGTGAAGACAAATGCATGTTTCTAGAGAAATCTTGGTTAAGATCAACCTCCCCTTATGCTTTCTTCTTTCCCTTGGCCAGTCTTCCTTTCAGCTACAGAGGCAGGGGAAAACATCAGTGACTCATAAAGTCCGTCAGAAAGATAATCCAATAAAGTAAATTGGACAACAATAATGGCAACCACACAAGCACTTTGTCTCTGGCTCTTCAGTGTCTGTTGAGGAATGGGCTGGAGTGAGAAAGGGTGTCCGTCTGCTTCAGTTCAAAGAAGGCAGAGCACCTAACCTGAAGCTGAAATTTGCAGCCGCAAAGATGGGGACATCAAATGCTGAAGCAATCTGCATGTCCTAGGCAAATCTCCAAGTAAACACTGTGCCATTTAAAGCACTCACCAGGGACACACAGGCGCTCTGGCACACGGCCACTCAGCAAAATGAGGCGGAACAATTAACAGTGTGCGCTCCTGGTTGTTCAGCTCTTGACACCCAAATACCTGGAAGCACTTAAGTGCGAAATCCACCTCATTGCCCCTCTTGGGGAAAGACAAGCTTCTTCTGCCAATTTTTCTGATTGGGAAGTAGAGTATCAGCCCTACAACTGGGGCCGAAACACCAGATTTGGGTGGACTCGGGCCAGAGAGAAAAGAAAAATTCCCCTTGACAGTCTCAGTGAGTTAATTTTGTTATCATATTTGTGTTGCTGCCATATATGGGGTTGGGAAGAAATTGTCCCTAACTCACAGTGTCATGTAAGTACAGTTTTTCTCCCTCCTCTGCACCATGAGTGGCTCTAGCCTGAGTCACTGAGATCTCAAGTGGGCAGTCTTAAAAGGCCATCAGTCTTAGTATACAAGCATCTGTATACTGTTAGGGGAACAGTACTAGCCTTTCTTACTGTTCCCTTTGTTGTAAGGCTTACAGTAATATCAGAAGTTTGTAGGGAAAGATGTAAGGCTATTTAAAGTGGTAGGTATCACTAGCAACAGCAAGGGTTTTAAGCAATGAGGACTGCTCTACTTATGGACTAACTCTGTTTTCGTTGCAAGCAGCACCTGTAGCAGACACCTGTGTTGCAATTTATTGAATTTTGATTACTGTAACTCGTGATTTTCATTCTGCTTTGACTATATTTGAACTGTATGCAGGCTGTTTTGGGGGCAGAGCCCAAATAGCTAAAACGCAGCATACGAAAAAACTTTAACTAAGAGGGCTACAGGAACAGATCCTTAGCAAGAGACTTTTGGTATGTTTTTTCCCCTAACTTACTAGATTTTCCAGGGAATGGGTAAATGGTTGGCATTTTGATGCCAACAATGTTACGTGGATACTGAGAGCCAGGGTTATGCAGTGGTCAGAGTGTTGGACTAGGACCAACCAGGGAGACCAGGGTCCAAATCCCCACTCAGCCATGAAGCTCATCTGGTTGACCTCTGTGTAAGTCCAGGATGGGCCATTGGTCTGATCCAGCAGGCTCTTCTCATGGCCTTGGGCCGGCCACTGTCTCTCGGCTTAACCTCCTTCATAGGGTTGTTTTGGGGTTTAAGTGAGGAGAGGGAGAATCATATACAGCACCTTGAGCTCCTTGGAGAAAAGGTCAAATATAAATGCAATAAATAAATGGAAAGCTTGTGTGGATGAGCAGCACTGATCTCACAATATGCACCTGTCTGGAAGTACCCTGCCAAAGATATATAACATAAATCCACCAGAACTCAAGAACCTGCATTTGCCCACTTCCCTTACACACCAAGCTAAAGGAAAGGCAACACACCTGAAAAGAGCAATGACTGGTAATCTACCTGAAGGGTGTGCATTGTTTTTCAAGGGTGTCCATTGTCTTTGCAAGAGACTCTTCCTGACAGATACCTTTGTCAAGGGGAATCGAAGAGGGTAGGGTGGGGTGGGAAGAGGAACAACTAAGCGAAGGCACAGGCTTGGACTGCAGCCGCAGTATCCCTCTTGCTCAGCCAATGCAGCCAAAGTGGTTAGCTCTGGGATGGCTTGGGACTTCATGGCTGCCATAATAACCATGGGGCTGTCCCAACATGTCATCAGCTTGACAAATGCTATATAGAGGTGCAAAATGAGGTTTCTGTGCCTTCTACCAAAAGCAATGTTATCTTGCCTCTTCATCTCAGAAAGCAAGTAGCTTGCTTCCAGGGATCCTTCTAATTTATATCCTGAAAAGCAACACCAAACCGAACCAAGTGAACTGCTCCAAGCAACCAATAACACACACACACACACACACACACACACACACACACACAGCCCACCCTCCCTGGTTATATTTTTGCACTTCTAGATGGAGAATAAAAAGGAGGAGGAAAGCAAACAAGTCATGGAGGGATTTTCTGTTTCTCTAGTCAAACACGGTAAGAGAGCGGTTCAAAAGAGGCTAATTAAATTCCAAAATCCCTAAGCAAATTCATTAATAATGATTTTGAAATAAGCAGTTAACCAAGGAAGCTTTCAAG